TATATTCATTTTTATAAATTATAAACATGTTTATAAATTATAAACAGAGACTTCTGCAAATATATTCTGTATATGTAAAGCATAACCAGAAATTTAAATAAAAAATGTGCTGCTATAAAAGAAATACCACAAGTGAGTAGCTTTCTTGAACAGAAATTTATTTTCTCAGTTTGTTTTTCTTGGGTGCCATCATATCAGTTCTGACTCATAGAGACCCAAGGTAGAACAGAAAACACCACACAGTCCTGCACCATCATCGTAACTGTTGCTATGTTTGAGCCCATTGTTGCAGCCATTGTGTCAATCCATCCTTTTGAGGGTCTTCCTCTTTTTAAAACTTTAGGAAGCTAGAAGTCAAATTCAGAGTAGTAGCTCTAGGAGAAGCCTTTCTTTTTATGGGCTTATCTTTTTCTCAGCTTTTTATTCCTCAGTTCCTTGGTGATCTTCATGTGATGTGACATCTATCTTCCCCCTTGTGTGATTTCTTGCTTCCTTGCTAATTTGCCCCTTCATATCTCAGAAGTGATTGGCTTAAAACATACCCTGCACTGATATGATTTCATTAACATAATAAATAAAAATAATTCTCAAGTAGGATTATACCCACAGGTTATAATACAGGGGTTAGTATCACAACGCATATTTTGAAGGACACAATGCAATTCATAACATATATTTTCTTCCTATTCTTTTTATTTGGATAGTCTGGGTTACCTAAAATTTGACAAAACCCACTGCCATCAAGTCAATCCCAATTCATAGCAACACCATTGGGTTTCCAAGGTTGTAAATCTTTACAGAAGTAGATTACCTCATCTCCATTCAACTGAACAACTGGTGGGTTTGAACTGAGTACCTTCTGGTTAGCACCCAAATGCCTTACCCACTGTGTCACCAGTTGTTGTTGTTGTTGTTAGGTGCTGTCCAGTCGTCTCCAACTCATAGCTACCCTATGCACAGTAGAATGGAAAACCGCCTAGTCCTGAGCCAGCTCTACAATCCCTACTATAACTGAGCCCATCACTGCAGCCACTGTGTCAATCCAGCTTGTTGATGGCCTTCCCCTCTTTCATCTACTCTCCACCTTATCAAGCATAACATCCGTCTCCAGGGAATGATTCTTTCTGACAACATGACCAAAATAGGTGAGAAGTCTGGCCTTTCTCACTTCCAAGGAGCATTACGGCTACACCTCCTCCAGGACAGATTTGGTAGTTATTTTAGCATTCCATGGTACTTTCAGCATTCTTCACAAACACCATAGCTCAAAAGCATCAACTTTTATTCCATCTTCCTTGTGCATTGTCCAGCTCTCACATGCATATGAGGCAATTGAAAATACCAAGGCTTGTGTCAGCGCACCTTAGTCCTCAAGGAGACATCTCTTTTATTCATCACTTGAAAGAGGTCCTTTGCAGCCAATTTGCCGAGCGCTATATGTTGTCTGATGTCCTGACTGCTGCTTCCATTGGTGTCGATTAAAACAAGCCATGTGAAGTCTTTGACAACTTCAAATTTTTCCCCCTTATTGTGATGCTGCATAAAAGTGAAATTGTAAGGATTTTTGTTTTCTTTATATTGAGATGTAATCCATAGTGCAAACTGTATTGTTCAATCTTCATCAGTAAGTCCCTCAAGCCATCCTCACTGTCAGCAAGTAAAGTTGTATCGTCAACATATCATACGTTGTTAATGATTCTTCCTCCAATCTTGATGCCATGTTCTTCTTCATATAGTCCAGCTTCTCAGATTAAGTATGGTGAAAGCATACAACCTGGCACACTCCCTTCTTGATTTTGAACAATTCAGTGTTCCCTTTTTGTGTCCAAATGACAGCCTCCTGGTCTATGTACAGATTCCTCATGAATACAATTAAGCATTCTGGAATTCCCATTCTACTCAATGTTATCCACAATTTGTTATGATCCACCTAATCAAATGCTTTTGCATAGTTCATAAAACACAAGTAAACATCTTTCTGGTATTCTTTGCTATGACCCAAGATCCATCTGACATCAGCAATGATATCCCTCATTCCATATCCTCTTCTGAATCCAGCTTGCATTTCTGGAAGTTCTCTGTCGATATACTGCTGCAATCATTTTTAAATTATCTTCAGTAAGATTTTACTTACATGTGATATTAATGATATTGTTTGATAATTTCCACATTCTGTAGGATTGCCTTTCTTTGGAATGGGTAAAATATGGCTCTCTTCCAGTCATTTGGCTAGGTAGCTGTCTTCCATATCTCTTGGAAAAACTGAGTGAATGCCTCCAGCAGGGCATCCATTTGTTTAAACATCTCAGTGGGTATTTCATTAATTCCTGGAGGCTTGTTCTTTGCCAATTCCTTCAGTGCAGCTTTGACTTCTTCCTTCAATACCATTGGTTCTTGGTCATATGCCACCTCTTGAAATGGATGAAGATCGGCCAGTTCTTTTTGGTACAGTGACTCTGTGTATTCTTTCCATTGTCTTTTGATGCTTCCTGCATCATTCAATATTTTATCCATAGAATCTTTCAATGTTGCAACTCAAGACTTAATTTTTTTCCTCAGTTCTTTCAGCTTGAGAAATACTGATTGTGTTCTTCCCTTTTGGTGTTCTAACCCCAGGTCTTTGCACATTTCATTATTGTAATTGGCTTTGTCTGCTTGAGCTGCTCTTTGAAATTTTTTGTTCAGCTCTTTTATCTTGTCATTTCTTCCATTTGCTTTATGTACTCTCCATTCAAGGGCAAGTTTCATAGTGTCTTCTGACATTCATTTTGGTCTTTTCTTCTTTTCTTGTCTTTTTAATGACCTCTTGTTTTCTTTATGGATGATGTTCTTGATGTCAACCCACTGGTTTTTGGTCATTGGTGTTCAATGCTTCAAATCTATTTTTTTAGATGATCTCCAAATTCAGGAGGGATATATTTAAGGTCATAATTTGGCTCTCATGGACTTGTTTTAATTGTCTTCAATTTCAAGTGGAACTTGCCTATGATCAGTTCATGGTCTGTTCTACAATCAGCTCCTGGCCATGCTTTGGGTAAAGGTATTGATCTTTTCCATAGACTCTTACCACAGATGTAGTTAACCTGATTCCTATGTACTCCATCTAGTGAATTCCATGGTATAGCCACTGTTTGTGTTGTTGAAAAAAAGGGTATTTGCAATGAATAAGTCATTGGTCTTGCAAAATTCTATCATGTGATCTCCAGCATTATTTCTGTCACCAAGGCCAAATTTTCCAACTACCGGTGATACTTCTTTGTTTCTAACTTTTGCATTTCAGTCACCAGTGATAATTGACATATCTTGATTGTGTGTTCTGTCAATTTCAGACTGCAGAAGTTAATTGTTGTTGTTGTTGTTGTTATGTGCCGTCGAGTCAGCCCTGACTCATAGCGACCCCTCCTTGGGTTTCCGAGGCAGTATCACTACGGAAGTAGGATTGCCCAACCTTCCTTCCGAGGAGTGGCTGGTGGGTTTGAACCGCCAGCCTTCTGGTTAGCAGTCAAGTGCCTTAGCCACTATGCTACCAGAGCAGAAGTTAATAAGAATCTTCAATTTCCTCATCTTTGGCCTTGGTGGTTGGTGCATCAATTTGAATAATAGTAATATTAACTGGTCTTCCTTGTAGGTGTATGTCACCAAAGCATTGGTTAAATAGCATCACCTAAGAGCTACCCATTCCGTAAAGCTTAATTGAAGTCCCACCTTCCCTAGGAAGCTTCTGCTAATCTGGTCAGTCCCCTGGGAAAACTCTCTTCTCAAAACCACTGTAGTAATTTCATCTATGCTTCTTATCTTTAATATATAGTATATAATTTGAGGAGTCCAGATGGCTCAGTGGTTAAGGACTGGGCTATTAACTGAAAGGTTGACAGTTCCAACAGTTCCAGCTATTCTGCAAAAGAAAGATGTGGCAGTATACCTCCCTAAAGCTGTATAGCCTTGGACATCTTATAAGGCAGTTCTTCTTTTCCTGTAGAGTCACTATGAATCAGAATCAGCCTGATGATAAAAAGTTTTTCGGTTTTGTAACCTACCATTATTATTTTTTTAATTTTTTTTCTATTTCTAAATAACCAAATTTTACAGTGATAAATAATCTTACTCTTATAATTGGAGCAGAGAGATTCATGTATTTATGTATTTCAATACATAAACAAATCTTGGGTTTCAAGTAAAATTTTTATTACATTCAATGTTAAGGATACATGTGAGACAGGAAAACCTACAGACAATATTCCAGAATTATATTGGTTAATGACAAAAAAAAGTCAGGTGGATATGAAATTGACATAATGAGATATATTGTATTACATGTATTATAATGAAATGCAATCAATTTATATATAAGAATCATGCATGGGATATATAGTTCTAAAACATAATATTAATAATGTTAATGTAAAATTATAATCTATCAAACTTACAGCCATACTCCTGTACAGTTCCTTATAAAATAATAACTAAAAGAGACATATTTTTTAAAAATTGATAGAAACAAACAAAAATGTGTTGTTCTTGTTCTTAAATACTCAAAGTAGACACAATGAAAGGTGTATTGACTAGCAGGCAATCTACAGGTGAGTCCAAGTGATATGGACACCAGTGGGAATCTTCTGGTTGGTGCTGAGGTATGTTTTCTTGTTACTGGAGCTTATGGAAAACCTTTGTTGAAGAGGATGCTTAAGGATTTTTTTCCCAAGTGCTCTAGAATGATGGGGAGCACAGGGTGTCCCCATGTCACAAATTTCTTCCTTGGTGTTATTTTCAGCTCTGATGACTGGAGGACCAGGAGGAGCAGTAGAGCCTAGTCTGGTGCTGGATGTCTGTGCTGGAGCCTCTACTTCTCCAACTCTAACTAGACATTCTCTTACTATAAGTCAATAGACATTCTCTTACTATAGGTCAGTTTCCTTGGTTTCCAGCATTTTGATATTATTTTTCAGTGTAATGAGGCTTTTAGCTTTTTCTGTTAATTTCTGGTTTAGCTTTCTTTGTTTTTACAGAGTTTGTATGTAAATATTTGACGCAGCTGCATAATTCAACACTCCACTGGATCCATGTCCTAAGAGGGCTCCCTTGTCTATTTTTGATGTATCCAGTTCCACATTCCCATCAACCATACTGTTTTGACCAAGAACAGCAGCCCACCTTTGGAACATGTGCACCTGGGGCTTGAGCTGAATTTCTTCATTGTTAAGAACTTTTTCTATAGACAATTTCAAGATTTTAAAGATGATATCTTCTTTACTAAGTCTGCCTACTTCTTCCTTCCACATTTACAATTCCTATGAGAGCAAATGTGTTTTCTTCTGTAGGTTGAAATTCTATTCTCAGGCCTCTGTGAGTGCTCTCTGCTGCTCTCTACCTTTCTGACAAGTTGTCAGCACTGCTTTGTTTGTGGCCACTTGATTTTGGATTTGCTTGTATTTGTCTTCTAAATACTGAATTTTACTTGTGATATGAGCCATTAGCCAGGATCTGTTGTCCCCTACTCAGACAGGGCTGCTTCTGCCAGGGACAGAGCCACCAGGACCACTGTCACCCAGAGCATCATGCCCATCAATCAACCTTCAGAAGCTGCTAAGGCCACTATTGGGTTGCCTCAGGTTGTCAGAACCTCATGCCAAATGGACAACAGAGACTATGGAGAGCATTGTGTTCAGAACCTCTCCTTTGCCGGGCCATCAAGGCTGACCTTGGTGGAGGTTGGGGAGGGGACAAGAAGAACTGTAACTCTAACCTTCCTTCATCATGAGGAAGGCTTAACAGCTGATCCAGTTGTATGACTATTCCCTTTCTTGACTGTTTTTCAACTGACATGGAAACAGTTCCTTCACCCAAATGAATGAATGGTAAATATTTACTTATCAGTAATAGATTAAGAAAATAAAATTTTAGAAAGGATGTCTTTCCTCTACCAATAAATATGTAGTAATATACCATCCCAATTATCATAATAACTATATTTACTAAAATGTTTCTGGATACCAATGTGGTTCTCAAAAACAAAAACAAAACAAAACAAAAAAAAAAAAAACACCCTGAGGAATGCACCATCCCAAGTGTCTATCAACAGATGAATAGATAACAAAATGCAGTGCATATATACAATGGACTCAGCTATAAGAAGAAGGTTGACAGCTCAAACCCACCAAATGATCCATGGGAGGAAGATGAGATACTCTACTTCTGTAAAGATTTACAGCCTTGGAAATCCTATGGGGGTAGGTATGAGTTGGAATCACCTCAATGACAGTGTTTTATTGTTGTTTTTGTTTTTAAAGAAAAAATGAAGTTCTGGTACAGGCTATGACATGGATGAACCTTGAAATTACTATGCTTTCAGACCAGTGAAATAAATCAGACAAAAGAACAAATGTTGTTTAATCCCATGTCTATGAAATGTCCAGAATATGGAAAGACAAAGACAAAACTTTATCAGTGGCTAACAAGGGCTAGGAGGAAAGAGGAAGCTATTGCTTAAGGGATACTCAGCTTCTATTTCAGGTGATAAAAAATCTTTAGAAATAGATAGTGTTGATGGTTGCACATATAGTGAATGTAATTAATGTTACTCAAGTATACACTTAAAAATGATTAATTGTTTTATATATATTGTCACACACACACACACACACACACACTCACACACATGCCTGAGGATTTGAGTACTTGGTAGAGGAGCATGGAGAAGCAAATGACAAACATCCTTACCAAGATAAAATATTAAAAATAAAGGAGTTGACATGCCTCTTACCCAGAGCCTTGAGGCAACAGCTCATAGGGTTCCTTTCCCTGGTCAATGCTCAGTGCTGCCTACAAGTGTGACAATGAGAAAAAGATGGATATGTTACCATATCATCTTTAAAAATATTTGTGTTTTTGCCCTCTCAACTTCATCCTCTTCTCCACCCTGCAAATGGCCTTATTTCTTTGCCAGCCCTGTTTTCAGATTGTGTGAAGCAGAATCAAGTAAATGTATGGGATTGGAGGGAGGACCAGAAAGGTGAGAGGAAGTGGAGAGAACTGAAGCCCAGGACCAAGGTTGCTGAGACTTGGAGAAGAGAGTTGATGAGGGTGAAGAATAAAAGTTTTAAAATAAGCTGTTCCTGACCCCTTGGTGCTTGAGAAAACTGAAGAGGAACAGAGGTTTCTATGAGTTGTAAACTGTATTGCCTTTAAAGTTCTTTCAGAAACACAATTAAAGATATGAGTGGCTCCTTAATCACTTCTGATTGCTAGACTACTTCTTTGAATGATATACCAAGAAAGACAGACCCACATGGGGGCTGTGGTAATTTATCCAAACTTTGTCACATGGGTCCCCATGAGGCAGAATCAATTCAATGGCACCTGACAACACAAATAGCCATAGTGTCTTTTGATGGCAGACACACTGTCTAAATGCTAACATTTCACTGACAAAACCTAAATGCTAAGAGTTGGCTTATCTAGTGAGATTTTAGCAATTAGGACCACTTAATGAGACTCAAAATTCTTGAGGCAATAAGTAGAAACTCTTTCCAATCTCCACAATGATGTAGAAGGCAAAAGTGGTTGTTATAATAAAGTACTAATAGAAAGTAAAGACCAACAATTGGGGGAAGAATCATTAACAACCTGAGATATGCAGACGATACAACTTTGCTTGCTGAAAGTGAGGATGACTTGAGGCACTTACTGATGAAGTTTGAAGAATACAGTCTGCAGTATGGATTACGTCTCAATATAAAGAAAACAAAAATCCTCACAACTGGACCAGTGAGCAGCATCACAATAAATGGAGAGAAGATTGAGGTTGTCAAAGAATTCACGTTGCTTGGTTCTACAATCGATGTCAATGGAAGCAGCAGTCCGGACATTAGATGACGTGTAGCATTAGGAAAGTCAACCACAAAGGAACTGTTTCAAGTGCTGAGGAGCAAGGATGTCTCCTTGAGGACTAAGGTGCACCTGACAGAAGCCATGATATTTCCAATCACCTCGTATGCATGTGAGAGCTGGACAATGAATAAGGAAGACCAAAGAAGAATTGATGCTTTTGAGTTGTGGTGCTGGTGAAGAATGCTGAAAGTACCATGGACTGTTAAAAGAACTAACAGATCTGTCCTGGAGGAAGTGCACCCAAAGTGCTCCTTGGAAGCAAGAATGTCAGACTTCATCTCACCTATTTTGGTCATGTTGTCAGAAGGGACCATTCCTTGGAGAAGGATGTCATGCTTGGTAGGGTGGAGGGTCGACGAAAGAGAGGGAGGCCTTCAACGAGATGGATTGACACGGTGGCTGCAATGATGGGCTCAAGTATAGCATGGATTGTGGAGCTGGCACGGGATTGGGCAGTGTTTCATTCTGCTGTGCATGGGGTTGCTATGAGTCAGAAACAACTCGACAGCACCTAACAATAACAACAACAAAGACCAACAACAAAAATATATATATAGGCATTAAAAGAACAGAGACCAAGTGACCTTTTTTCCTTTAGATATTGAAGTAACAATCATATACTGGCAGTTTGTAAGTGAAATTTAGCCTGCAGATATGGTGTATTGGGCCAGCAAAGCGTTTTAATTTTTGTTTTGTGTTAGTATCTGTATATGATGCATGTACTCTCTGTGTTGGCTGCAATTCCATCAACCCTAATTTTGATAAGACCTGGGTGCCTCAAACATTGTTACTTCCAGTCCCCTAATGGCATGTAAGGAGCCATGGTGGCACAATGGTTAATGGCTTCTAACTAAAAGGTTGATCATTCAAACCTATCAGCAGCTCCATTGGAGGAAATACCTGGTGATCTGTTCCCATAAATATTACAACCTTGGTAACCCTATGGGGCATTTCTACTCTGTCTTACAGGGATTTTAGGAACTGGAATCACCTTGATGGCACACAATACCACAACAATGATATTTAGGTGTTTTTTGTTTTGTTTTGTTTTTTTTCTTTTGACCTCTGAGAGTATTCATAATTTATAGACTAACTTAATAAAGTGCAAAGAGTATAATCTAAGCATCAGAAGACCTTGAATCCAGATTCTGTGCCATTTTGTGCATCACCTTGATTAAGTCAAGTTACTTCTCTAAAGCACAATTCCCTCAACTACAGAATGGCAATGATAGTGCTTGCCCAACATGTCTTATGGGGTCAAATGAGAAGAATGTTTAAAAACTAAAACTGTTAGACCAAAATAAAAGTTCTTATCAGATGATCTCTTAGTCCCCTTCCTGCTGTGAAATATTTTGTTCACATGATTCTAGAAAAATGGCTGATAATTACAACTACATTTCCTAACAAAGCCATCATCTCCATAGCTTTGAACATAAATGGATATGATACTTAGAATTATGTGGATAGAAATGTTAGAAATCCTTGACTGGTTTTCTGATAGATTTATAATTAGAATGCATGAAAGAAATGCATTGTGTGCTATATGTTGGCATCTCAGGAAATTGCGTGATCAAGTTTGATGAGAGCCCGCCTGTGAGATTAATTGTAAATTGGCTTGAATGCAAGCATTGTCATCAGGATTGAAAACTGTCAAAGAATGTAATGGTGGAGCTGACAAAGGGTAGCAATGAGTGGCATCACACACAGCAATGAGGTCAAGGTATCTACAGAGTGCTTTCTGGGATCACGGTTCAGCCTAATCTCATTACCATCTTCATTAACGTCTCCAGAAATGGGCTACAGTCTCCTTAGAATAATTTGCAGAGGATGCTTAGATGGAAGTGTCTGAAAACAAAGAGAGAAAATATCATACCAAAGATTCAGACACGTTGCAATAGAATTTTCAGCAAATGTCAAAATCAGATGCTGCTGGAAAGACAGACATTTGAGTTTGTGACTTCTGAAAATGCTCCCCCACTTCTCTCACTATTTAAACCATGCTCTAAGTTATTTTATTTTCTCTAACAAGAAGGCTGGCGGTAGAAACCCACCAGCCACCCCTCACAAGGAAGACTGGGCAACCTATTCCATAGTGATACTGCCTCGGAAACCCAAGGAGGGGTTGCTATGAGTTGGATATGACTCGACAGCAGTGAGTTTGATTTTTGGTTTTGCTTTATGAGGTCTTAGGAGCTCTGATGGTACAGTGGTTAAGCACTTTGCTGCTAACTGAAAGGTCAGCTGTTCAAACCCACCAGTGCTCTGAAGAAGAAACATGTGACAGTCTGCTATGATAAAGATTAACAGCCTTGAAAACCTGATGGGGCTATTCTACTCTGTCCTATGAGATCACTATAAATTGGCATCAACTTGACATTAGTAGCTTTGGTAC